ATGCAAGTGTATTGCGATATATATGCTAAATATGCAATTAAAATTTTAGCTTGATTGGATTAGTAATTCTTGAGGTATAAATTTTTGAGGTTTATAATTAATACTATATTATATAAATTTTGAGCAAAAATTATTATACATAGTAATTAAGGGTCTGCAAATCCCACGCCTGTATCTATAGGCACAAAAATGCTAGACACTAGCGTCAAAAATTTTTAAGTAAAACCGGATTGAGTTACAGCTGCTCATAGATTCGGGAGCAACAGTTCGGCCGAATTCAATAAGCTTCAGAATATCCGATATATAAAAAAGTATAATGTCGGTATTAAAATAATTTTTATATATCATTTATTGTAAAGGATTGATGTTACAGATTCTCTAGAGCACAGTATTTAATATTGGTCATAACAAAAAATTACATTCAATATATGGCAATATTGTTTTTTATATGTTCGAAATCTTCTATACACAAATTTTTATACAGTAAATCTTGTCTAATATAACTTATTTCTCATTAAAGAAATAAATGTTTGTTTTTTGTTTTTTTTTTTTTAACGAACAGAAAGATAAAAGTTTTTCAATACATCCATATCATTAAAAGTGCTTGAGAGTATTTAGCAATTTTTCGGACTGACCCGCGGAGATATTTTGAAAGCATCATATTTCTATATTCAATTTATATTTCATCGATATATCAATTTATTGAATCTATTATGCCGAAATCACAAAGTTAATTGAATCGGCAAAAAATCATCCAGCCAATTTTTATCAGGTGTCCTAAAAATTGTCAAGCAAAATATGGACATGATAACAGTTACGGCAGATTTATCTTCGGAAACAAAACTATGAGTCAACCTGTGGGCCAACTTACAGGCCACCCATGGGTCAACCCACGGGTCACCCGTGGGCAGGGTTGGCACATTTATCCATTGGGACGAATGAAGAACAACTCTTGATCCATTGAGAATAATTTCTGAATGGATCCAATGGAAGCCAACCAACTCCAATGACATTGATTCGTTTGACCTGTTAATCATTAGGATGAGTTATTGATATATGAGGCTAGAGATTAGAACCCTATTCTTCATCGGTTTCTTTAGATATTTCTATTGGAGCCATTTAATATTGCTTGCTGCAAACATGAAGGGCGACTTTTTTATTGCACCACTAGGGTTGCGACTTTGCAGCAGGCAACACTAGGGCCATTATCTCCATTGGGTTCTCCACTGGCTCTATTAGTTCTCCATTAGTATCATTGGCTCCATTCACTCCATTCACTTCATTGGTTCCATTGGGCTCAATTCGCTCCATTGGTAATTTTCTCAATGGAGTATATCCATTGCCAACCTTGTCCGTGGATCAACCCGCGGGTTGACCCACCCGTTTTCACCTGGGTTGCCATAACTTAACCCGGGTCACCCACCCACTCGCGGGTGACTCGGGTGACATCCACCCGGGTCAAATCACTATATAGTAA